TACATAAATATGTGGCGTGGTAAACAAGCCGACCCCACGTACCGTACCCCGCCAATGTGTCACTGTGATAGTAAACGTTTTCCGAATACGGGTAAAAATGGATCTAGCATCATGTTGGTTTACAGGCTGTTATGATATTTTAACGTCAATACACGATAGTCTATTTTTAACATCCAATGACAAAATTACATACAACGGTTTGCGTTTATGCTTGTGGGCAGTCGGCACTGTCGGCAGTATTCATTGTTCACAGTATATTCTCAATAATCAATTCTTACTATACATTTTCAGTGCCGATATTTTAACGTTTGGTTGTATTGTTGAGTCTTGAGTAATGAGTGTTGTATTTGTATTGTTTGTGTTACCTAAATTAGGCACTTAGTTTTAACTTTAATGAAGCTTTACTTATAAATTATAATTTAAAATGAGTTCTAAAACAATAAAAAACGGATACCAAAAGAGCAAAGCCAACGAAAAATTAAAGTTAATGAAAGTTGCCAATGATTCAAAACAAAAAAAACTTAGTTTTTTCATCAAAAAAGAGCCAGATGAGTCGTTCATTGAAAATATCATCAATACTGTACTACTTGAACTTGAGGATAATGATAAGTTCATATATTCATCTGAAAAGTCTCCAGGTACCTATATTTTTCATATTTTATTTTATAGTTTAAATTCTTAATATTATTTGTTTTTAGCCTGTTCTATAAAATATGGACATAATATCATCGATACTGACGATATTGTACATGAAGAGTTAGTAATATCCAATAAAGATAATAATGAAATGTTTAGAGGCTCACCTGAAAAGTCTTCAGGTATTACTGAATTAGTAATAGATTTTTTTATTTGTTTTAATATAAATATTTTATTACAGTTATAAATACATGTGATATAAATGATCCTGTTTTTCCTCTTCCAAGCAATCGCTAGAATCTTTAAACAAGGTCCGTTTCAACCATTACTGAACGAATTTCCTCAGATAATAAATAAAAATAARCAACGATCATTCAACAAAAATTGGTATAATAGTTATAAGTGGTTAGAGTATAGTCCTAGTATAGATGCTGCCTTTTGCTTTTATTGTAGATGTTTTAATGGAAATGATTATAATGGTAGTYATGTAGATTCTTGTTTTGCCGTAAGTGGTTTTAAGTCTTGGTACCGTGGTTATGAGCGTTTAAAAAAACATCAGCTATCAAAAGTTCATCAAAATGCTACCACTTCATGCCAAAATTTTATTAATTCAAAATCAATTGATTGTAAATTAAATTCTGCACAAAGAGTAGTGTTAAAAACAAATGAAGAAGAGAGTGTTAAAAATAGAAATATCATGAGACGACTTATTGATATTGTGCTTCTTCTTGGTAAAGCTGGTAAACCGTTTCGAGGACATGACGAGAGTTTTTCAAGTAACCAGAAAGGCTTATTTAGAGAAATAGTAGATTTGTTAGCTAGGTATGATGATGTTTTAAAAACACATTTATTAAATGGCCCAAAAAATGCACAGTATTTGAGTAATCGCATTCAAAATGACCTAATTTCATCATAGGTTATGTATATATGTATATATATGTATATAAAATGATATGTTATGATAAAAAAAATTAAATCTAATTTTGATAACTCTTTTATATCATTGATGGCAGACGAAACAAGCGATGTTGGCCACTCTGAGCAATTGTCTGTTGTTGTGCGCTATTTTAATGAGGAGTTAAATAGACCGGTTGAAACATTTGYTGCTCTAAAAAAAATGACTACAGTTACAGGACAGTCTATTTTTGATTCTATTAACATGGTGTTAGGGATGATCAATAAAGATTGGTCATCTGTTTTGGCAGTTTGTTTTGATGGTGCATCATCAATGTCAGGTCATGTAGGAGGTGTTCAAGCGAAGTGCAAGGAAAAAAATAATAAAATTCTTTATGTTCACTGTTATGCACATTGTCTCAATTTAATCCTGATTGATTCAATTTGTGAACATTCTAGTACACCCAATAACAGACTTATTAGTGCTGTGGGAAATTTATTAAAGTTAGAATTAAATAACAGTTTTTCAAATATTTTATCTAAATTATTCAATATATCAATCGATGAACTGGAAACTGAAATTAAAATTCTCAAACATATGCCTGATGTACCAATTGGTACATCCAGTGAATCTATTTATGTGTGGTTAGATTGGTTAAAAGAGAGTGGACGGTTAGACATTTTTAACAATATGTATTTAGTATTAAAAATGTTTACCATAATACCAGTAACAAGTTGCATATGTGAAAGGGTATTTTCCAAATTAAGCATTGTAAAAAATAAACTCAGATGTACTWTGTGCCAAGATAGACTAGAATCATTACTACTAATATTCACAGAACAAGAACTAGCATGTAAATTAGATTTTAATGAAATTATTGACGAATTCAAAAATGATATACCTTTTAAACGTCGATTATCATAAGATTAAAGATTGTATATCTCTATATATTTATGTATTGTTATGTTTTATGTAATTTGTTTTAGAACGAATAATAATAAAAAAAAATATTTTTATTGCATTTAATATATTTAAATCATTTGTCTGTATCTATAATTATTTTCAAAATTATTGTGGGCCCTAATGTTTAGTGTGCACCTCCGGAACCAAAAGTCTGCGCACGCCTATGTCTATAATTTATATATCTATATATAATATTATATAATATTAAATTATATCTMTAGATTTTATAAAATACTTAGCAGAAATGTATTGCTAACTACTATAACTAGTTACTTACCTGTCAAACCACAAATTGAACCCACTTCAGCCCATATTTTTTTTGTTTTTTTCTGCGTTTTTATAATCTTGTAGTCGATCATCCCACAAAATTGGTCTCAACYGAACTTCGGAAATGAGACTTTCCCTTTGCGCAGAAGTAAATTTATACTGACTCATTGTATAATTGTAAAGTTAARTGAAAAAAATAAGTTACAACAATTGAACGGTTTCACGTTGCATATGAAAATAAAGTGCATATCGCTCTGAAAATGATGACAAATATTAAACATGATTAATATTAAGTGCGTCGCTCGAGCATCGCCGGTCGCCGTCGCCCATCGCTTTAGACCATTATAAACACTTCCCTTTGGAACTATGTATTAAATATATTTTAGGAAATTCCTTGTTGCTCATCGCTCGTCGCTGTYGCCCGTCGCTCGCCAATGTGAACCCGGCCTAAGTAATTTATAGAATATGATGACTGATAAGCAAACAAAAACAAAATTAGGGTCAATAACGTAATTTCGTCACCTGATTTTAACACCAGTTACTCATTAGCCAATTTATTATTCTCTCTTAATGTTTAATACTTTAACTGCAAAAAAAATAATTCTAATAAAAGAGCCAGTCAGAAAATCACAGATTTCTTTTCAAAAAAATTTATGGATAGTTTAGGTAAGTTGCTTACAAGTTGCTTAATACTTTCATGTTTTTGTTTTTAAGTTGTACTAATGAAAACCATAAACCCGTGTACATTATTAAAATTGTATTCATTATGTACTCGGCTCACTGAGWCATTCATAATATATATAATATCTCGTAAAATATACTATAAAGTATGAATATAACTCATTAATGRCATTAACTATTAAAATAAGAATATAATAWACTACCTATACAGTTTAGGTAGTTTATTTTAAATTACAACAATATAGCTAAATTTGTTATTCTTGGTTATTTAATATGTAATTTTATCCAAACTCGAACTTAAAATAACTAGTATAAAAACTGCGTTTGYATAGAATTAACTACTTATGAGAAACCTTACTTTAAATTTGTAATCCTCAGCTACATGAACATTTTAAAAATTTTCAACAAATAAATAATTTGTAAATTTTATCGAAATTTGAATTTTAAACGGTTATAAAAATAAAAACGTGCATAGGTATATGTATTTTTAATATTTTCCAACGACTATTATATCATCTAATGGAGAACCTTTTATGAAATTTCCGAGTTTTTTGTCCCAATGAATACAATTTAATTGACATTTATGGAAAAAAAAACTAAAATAACGGAAATTTCAAATGTTTGTAAATAACTTAAAAAGAATCAAAATATTTTTAAAATGTTATCAAGAATAGGAATTGATAAAATAGTCGTTGGAAAATATTAAAAATGTTATCAAGAATAGGAATTGATAAAATAARCATATGCTAAAAATTTCACGTTTCTAMAGTTATTAGTTTTTGAATAACAACAAAATAAGGATATTGGTTCAAGAGAATTCAAGCAAATATCCTATGTTGTAATTCAAATGCTCATGAACATTTAATTTGACTTTCCGGTAGACATTTTTTATTTGATAAAAGTAGACAAATTTATAAAGAATCTTGTATTGAATTTTCAAATCTTAGTTTTAAAAAGATAAATTTTATGAACTTTAACTCAAAATAAATTTAAAATGCTCGTGATTTTTACGTATTCTGTAAAAATTCGAACTTTAAATGCTTATTAAAAAATTGTGACTATGTATTTTAGTATTTTTTAATTACCATTGTAACAATATATTAGGAGCCTTGTATTAAATTTTGAAGCTGTTTTACCCCACGGATAAATTTTTATTGACCTTAATAGAAAATTAAATGAAAAAAATTGTAATTTTCAAATGTATATTAATATTTTTAAAATATTTGATATATTTTGAAAATGTTATCAAGTATAGAAACCTTCGGTGAAAATGTCATGTATCTAAGGTAATTTGTTTTAGAGTTACACCAAAATCTAAAATTGATTTTATCAATAACCGATTTTGCATTCTCGTTTTTTGTTTTTCCTTTTGAAAATTACAGAGATTTTAAACTTTGATCAACTAGATTCACTTTCAAACCAGAAAAGTTGCATTTTATTACTGCAGTTAATGACATGCTATGAATAGAATTAAATAGGTATAAAGTTTTAAATTTTGAGTGCTACTATCCAAATAATATATTGATTTTACAATGATTAATAAACAACATTTAAATTAGATTCTAAGCATATACATTAGCGATGAATGTATTTATTTTACAATGATGTTTGTTTTCATTTTGTTTTTTTCAATTTTTAATATTATCAATTTTTTTTGTGAGTGTATACGATAAGTTGTGGAACTAATGCTTAGATTTTCAACTTAGTAGCTTTTCCGGCTGGAAAGTGAATCTAGTTGGTGCATTGAAGAGGTCAATATTTTGAAATTTCCAAAACACCGGGAAAACAAACAAAAAATTAAGGAAAAAAACGGAAATTTTTACTCAAAATCTATTTTAGATATAACTCTAAAACAAATTACCATAGACACATGACATTTTCACARAATGTGTTTATACCGTCATTTTCTTTACTTGATAATATATTTAAAATCTTTTTAATTTCAAAATTCAATACATGATTCTTCATGAGTTKGTTTACTTTTATCAAATAMAAATGTCTACCGGAAAGTCAAATTACATTTTTATAAACATTTGTATTGCAACAATTCTACGGCGAGGATTCTACGAAATCTGTCGAAAACACCTGTCGAAGTTCAAATATTGACAAAAATTCGTTAAAACCATATATATTTTTTTTTTTTGATTGTCATTAAGTTTTGGGGCAGTAAAAATGTTTCGACATTTAACTTCAGTACCTTGTTAAAACAGAAAGTGAATCTAGTTGATACTTTGGGGGRTCAAAAGTAAAAAATTCTTAATATTTTTCTAAATAATCGGGAAAAACAAACTAAAAATTAAGGGAAAAACAGGA